ACCACACCTGGCCTTATTATTATTTTTAATTGACATGATAATTGTACATATTTATGGGTTACAGTGTGATATTTTGTTACATGTATACAAGTTGGGCTTGAAATCCAGGCAGCCTGGTCTAATGTTTCCTAGCTTTTCCTACTGAGAAAATTAAGGTAATTAGCATATCCATCACCTCAAACATTTAAAACATTTCTTTGAGTTGGGATAATTTCAAATTTGCTGTTCCAGCTATTTGAAAATATACGATAGATTGTTGTTGGTTATAGTCACCCTACAGTGCTAGAGAACACTACAGCTTATTCCTCCTGTCTAGCTATACTTTTGTATCCATTAACCAACCTTTAGCTGCTCCCCCTCCCCTCTGGAGTCCCTTTTATAAGGGTTCCAATCCCATTCATGAGGGCCCTACCCTCATGACCTAATTGCCTCCCAAAGGTCCCACCTCCTAACACCACCACGCTGGAGGTTAGGATTTCAATACAGGAATTCTGGGGGGAATAAACATTCCACTGTACCCCATCTGTAGAACATAGCAGCAGGACCCGCTTCATTGGGGTTCTGTGAAGATGGGATAATAGAATGCATGTAAAACACCTTGCACGTGGTAGGTGCTCAGTACCTGTGAAAAACACAAACAACGACTTTATCAGTGAGCATGAGAAGTGATGCCATAGTAACAGACCACTCCCAAATCTTGGTGGCTTAGAACAAAGGTTTATGTATTTCTTGCTTATGGTCCATGCCAACTGAGGATCGGTGGGGACTCTGCTCTCGCTGCTCTCTCCTGGGACCATCGCTAGGGGCATGAGTCACCATCAGCTGTCCTCGCATCGGAGGGAAGGGAGCTCTGGGAGGTCTCCCACTGCAGCTAAGTGCCATGGCCCGGAAATACACACATCTCTGCTCACATGTCATTGGCCAGAGGAAGGCAGATTGCCTCACTTAACCTCAAGAAAGCGGGGCAAGGAAGTACAACCTTGCCTTGCATCTGGAATATTCATGAGCAGCTCTAATGGCATCCATGTCACTGAGGCAGCTTCTGTCTGACTCCAATGTCAATAATAATAGCAGTGACTAACATTAATTGGCCACTTACCATGTACAAGACATCGTAGTAAGTGTTTTCTGTAAATGATCACACTTAATCCTCACAGTGCGGCTATGAGTCAGGTACATTAGAGACAACAGGACGGTAGTCAGAGAGAGGAAGTAACTCGGCCTGAGAACACTGTGCTGGCTTCTACTTAGAACCTTGAAATGCCACAACTGGGGCTGACACCCACTGTCCCCAGAACCATGGGTGGACGGGTGGAATGCTCACAGGGGACTGTGGCACCCACACCTGTTTCCAGGTCAGAGGCCCTGGGCTTTTTAATGGAGCCCCCACAGGAAGATGGTGCAGGAGGGGAGGGGCCAAGGGAGGCAGTGATGGAGAGAATGCAAAGCCTGGAAGGGCAGCTCCTTCCCACCTTCACCTCTGCCCTTGAAGCCAGGGGCCCTGCCAGGCACTGGAGGGCTGGACTCACACCAAGTCGGGGAAGGGCTGGCTACATAGGTTTCACCACCGAGCTGTGGATGGCTCCCTCTCCTCCACCGTGGGTATCTTCCTGAAAACTTAGTTTATCGCTGAACACGTAGGAAGTCTGAAATGTCACCACTAATTACATTCAGCTTCTGGGAGAGGTGTCATGTTCTGGGGGTGGAGGGAATAAACTTTGAAGTCAGGAAAGTCAGGAATGGAGAATTCAGGCCTTGGTCCTATCATAGCTGGATGACTGGATGGCTGGTAAGTCACCTGGTTTCTCTGAGTCCTCAGTTTTATTATTATTATTATTTTATTATTTATTTATTTATTTGAGACAGAGTCTCGCTCTGTCACCCAGGCTGGAGTGCAGTGGATTGTTATCTCGGTTCACTGCAAGCTCCGCCTCCCGAGTTCACGCCATTCTCCTGCCTCAGCCTCCAGAGTAGCTGGGAGTACAGGCTAATGTTTTTGTATTTTTTAGTAGAGATGGGGTTTCACTGTGTTAGCCAGGATGGTCTCGATCTTCTGACCTCATGATCTGCCCACCTCAGCCTCCCAAAGTGCTGGGATTACAGATATGAGCCACCACGCCTGGCCAAGCCCTCAGTTTTCTAATCTGTAAAATGAGGATATTAATAGCTGGCCCACTTCACAGAACAGTGGTCATGGTCAAAATGTACATGAAGTATTTTGTGATCTATAAAGAACTATCTAAATAAGCTTCTCCTAAAAAAAAAATAAAATTGGAGGAAGCGTGGTATATTTAGGTGGGGAGGTGGGATCCTGATATTTCCATTTACTGTGCATTTGTTTGACCCCCTGACCTTTTTTGCAGAACAAGCTGGGTACAGGGAAGGTAACTTTGGGCCCGAAGAGGTGCTTCTCTGAGGGGCTTCTGAGTAGGGTACAACCTTGGGACTAGAGAGCCTCCAGACCTGTGGGAAAGCGGCACAGATAAGGGGAGCACCCCCTGCCCATGGGGCAGCTGTGCCTGGGGCTGCCCCAGTTGCATCCTGAATTATGTCACCTGTCTGTGCTTCACCCCAGAGAAGCTAAGTTGAGGGAGTGGTTTGATGGAAAGGGATGGAAGAAGTGGGGGGAAAGTGGGGGCAACAGAATTTTTAGCTGTAAATACTAAGTCAAGGAAGGCACAGAGTGGGATAATAACTCTCACAGTCAACTCTTATGGAGGGCCAAGTCTGTGCCAGGCACTGTTCTACACTCTTTTCCAGTATTAACTCATTTGAACCTTGCTGTAACCACAACAGGAAGGTTGGGGTTATTATTATCTCCGTTTTATAGATGAGGAACTGAGGCAAAGAAAGCTTAAGTATGGCTGGGCACGGTGGCTCATGCCTGTAATCCCAGCACTTTGGGAGGCCGAGGTGGGTGGATCACTTGAACCCAGGAGTTCAAGACCAGCCTGGCCAACGTGGTGAAACCCTGTCTCTACTAAAAATACAAAAATTAGCTGCACGCAGTGGTACATGCCTGTAATCCCAGCTACTCGGGAGGGTGAGGCAGGGGGATGGATCACTTGGATCCGGGAGGCGAAGTTTGCAGTGAGCTGAGATCGCGCCACTGCACTCCAGCCTAGGCGACAGAGACAGACTCTGTCTCAAAGGAAAAAAAAAAAAAAAAAGAAAGCTTAAGTCACTTGCTCTGAGTCACATAGCTAGGTAGTACAGAGCTGGGCTTGAAATCCAGGCAGCCTAGTCTAGTGTTTATCAGCTTTTCCTACTGAGAAAATCACCTGGAAGAGTGTTTTTGAAGACAGAGATTATTGAACCCAACCATGACCTAGGAACTAGCTTTTTACCTTATTTTTTTGTGCATAGGTTATAGGTGAAGGAACCAACATTAAAGATTCCACGGGATTTTTTTTTTTTTTTTTTTTGAGACGGAGTTTCACTCTTATTGCCCAGGCTGGAGTGCAATGGCACAATCTCGACTCACCGCAACCTCTGCCTCCTGGGTTCAAGCGATTCTCCTCCTTCAGCCTCCCAAGCAGCTAGCATTACAGGCACGTGCCACCACACCTGGCTAATTTTTGTATTTTTAGTAGAGACGGGGTTTCTCCATGTTGGTCAGGCTGGTCTCAAACTCCCAACCTCAGGTGATCCACCCGCCTCAGTCTCCCAAAGTGCTGGGATTACAGGCATGAGCCACTGCACTCAGCCTCCAAGGGATTCTTAAATTTAGGGACGTGTAGCAACTGGACTATGCTGTACTGGGTAAGAGTGAGGAGGAAACCTGTTTGCTTGAATGGAAGGCTTTTGAAGGAAGCAGCCAGGGACAGTCTGGAAAACTTTCCTGTATTCATCAAATTTAAGATACCTGAGTTGTAGGACACAGTGTTATTCTATGTACTATAAAAACAAAAAATACTGATAATCCAGCCACGGCTTGACACTTTCTTTTTCTTTTTCTTTTTGAGATGGAGTTTTGTTCTTGTTGCCCAGGTTGGAGTGCAATGGCGTGATCTCGGCTCACCACAACCTCTGCCTCCAGGGTTTAAGTGAGTCTTCTGCCTCAGCCTCCCCAGTAGCTGGGATCACAGGCATGTGCTACCACACCCAGCTAATTTTGTATTTTTAGTTGAGACGGGGTTACTACATGTTGGTCAGGCTGGTCTCAAACTCCCAACCTCAGGTAATCTGCCCGCTTCAACCTCCTAAAGTGCTGGGATTACAGGTGTGAGCCACCGCGCCCAGCCTAGACACTTTCTTTTTTTTTTTTTTTTGAGACGGAGTTTCACTCTTGTTGCCCAGGCTGGAGTGCAATGGCGCGATCTCAGCTCACTGCAACCTCCACCTCCCGGGTTCAAGCAATTCTCCTGCCTCAGCCTCCTGAGTAGCTGGGATTACAGGCATGCACCACCACGGCGGGCTAATTTTGTATTTTTAGTAGAGACGGGGTTTCTCCAGGTTGGTCAGGCTGGTCTCAAACTCCCGACCTCGGGTGATCCACCCGCCTCAGCCTCCCAAAGTGCTGGGATTACAGGCGTGAGCCAGTGTGCCTGGCCGACACTTTCTTATTACACTTATTTCACAGATGTTGTAAGTATGAAGAAATGTGCATCTCAGCAGTGATGAGTTCTTTGGACTGGGACCAGATACTGGAGGGCTTTGAAGCTAGGGCAGGTGGTACGTTGTTGAGTTCAAGGTGAGGAGAATGGCTGAGGGCCTGGGAGGACCACCTGGTGTGGTGGCAGAGCCTGCCTGGGCTGAGGAGTTCACCTCTCTGCCTCTGCCCCAACCGCTGGGTCTCAGGGGCCAGTTGCTTTAACTCTCAGAGCCTCAGTTTTCTCACCTGCGTTCTGCAAGAAGGATGGTAGAAGCTACCTCTCATGCCTCCTGAGGCTGTTAACAGAAGGAGAAGGGAGGTGACAATATAACAGCAGTGCAAAGTGGGAGGTAGTGGACTGGGCACACTCAGCCTGATGCCATCTGCACCCCTCCTTCTCCCTCAGCCACAGGTCTAATGATTGGCTGCCTGGTCTACCCTGACGGCTGGGACTCAAGTGAGGTACGGCGCATGTGTGGGGAGCAGACGGGCAAGTACACGCTGGGTCACTGCACCATCCGCTGGGCCTTCATGCTGGCCATCCTCAGCATTGGCGATGCCCTCATCCTCTCCTTCCTGGCCTTCGTGTTGGGCTACCGGCAGGACAAACTCCTCCCTGACGACTACAAGGCAGATGGAACTGGTAATCCCCCAACTCCACAATGGTGTCCCCTGTCTGGAGACCCTGGGATGTGGGTAGGGGTTTGTCTTAGCCAGTTCTCTAAGGCTTGGTCCCTGGCCAAGGGATGGGGACAATCAGACACAGCCCATGTCCTCCCTGAAATCAAAGGCCAGTGGAGGGTTGCAAGCTAGCAGGTGATAAGGTGATCTGTGATAAAGGAATGTCCCCCTCACCCCTCTACACTCTTAGAGGCTATAGGGGAGAGAGCTGCAATCCAGCCTTGGGGGCTAAGTGTGGTCTCCCCTAGAAGGAGGTACTGAGGCTGGGTCTCGAAGTAATATTCCTGGGAGCTTGCTTGGTGGAGAGGGGAACAACAGGGGGATGAGTTGCTGGGGAGGAAGTAGGAAGGCAGGGACCTTTAGAACAGATCAATGAGGGTGCAGAAGTGACAGCTCCTGGAGTGCAGCTGGTGGGAGCCCAAGATCCCTGGAGGAACAGCAGCCTTGGGATTCTCGTAATGTTCGTCCTGTTTCAATTCCCTCACATCCAAATCCTACCTGTCTGTCATAAAAGTTAGCTGTAGCTGATCCTCGAGGCCCAAGCAGACCCTCCAGGAAGCCCTCCCTGACTGCTTCCCATTACCTCCCTTCTTCCTAGGGTGCTTTTCACTTCTGTTTCTTATTGGGCTCTTCCCCTGCCCATTTTGAGAGGCTAACTTTTTCAGAGCATTAATTTCTTCCCTGAGTCAAGGGCAAGGACTGTCTTGCACCCCTGTGGATCCCCAAATGCCTGGTCTCAGTAGGTGGCCATCACTGGGGACCTGTTACATCTCAGGGACCTCTCCAGTCTCTTTTCCCCATTAGCCCTTGGACTAGAAGAAGCAGCCAAACTCCTCTGTCCACTATAACCAAGGACTCTTCCCACATGAGGAACTTGAAGCCCAAAAGGGAGAGTCACTCAGAAGTTCCCAGAAAGGCAGTGGCAAAGAAGAGCCCAGAACTCAGGTCCCCTCTGGCCAAGACTGGGGCCCACTTCTCCATAAAGAAGTGATAGGAAACATTTCATCCTTCTTTGGGAGTGGGACAAGGATAACCCACCTGTTATGTGGTTAAAGATGTAAACAGGCCAAGTGCGGTGGCTCATGCCTGTAATCCCAGCACTTTGGGAGGCCAAGGTGGGCAGATCATGAGGTCAAGAGATCAAGACCATCCTGGCCAACATGGTGAAACCCCATCTCTACTAAAAATACAAAAAATAGCTGGGTGTGGTGGCTTGCAGCTGTAGTCCCAGCTACTCGGGAGGCTGAGGCAGGAGAATCTCTTGAACCTGGGAGGCAGAGGTTGAAGTGAGCTGAGATCATGCCACTGCACTCCAGCCTGGATGACAGAGCGAGACCCTGTCTCAAAAAAACGAAAAAGAAAACAAATTACTAGAAAGAGCTGGGCCAAGGAGGAGAGAAGAGGGAGATTTCTTCCCATCACAGTAGGGTAGATTCCTATAGTTCCTGGGCCAGGGAAACACCTAGGGCCTAGATCCCTTGCGGATTCTATAAAGGGAAGAAAAAAATGAAATAGTAGGGCTGGGTGCAGAGGCCTACGCCTGTAACCCCAGCATTTTCGGGGGGCCAAGGTGGGCAGATCACTTGAGGTCAGGAGTTGGAGACCAGCCTGGCCAACATGGCGCAACCCCATCTCTACTAAAAATACAAAAATTAGCTAGGTGTGGTGGTGTACACCTGTAATCCCAGCTACTTGGGAGGCTGAGGCAGGAGAATGGTGTGAACCCAGGAGGTGGAGCTTGCAGTGAGCCGAGATTGTGCCACTGCACTCCAGCCTGGGCGACAGAGCAAGACTCCGTCTCCAAAAAAGAAAAAAAAGAAATAAATCCAAACATTTATGGCCAATTGATTTTCAACAAGGATGTCAAGACTATTTAATAGGGGAAAGAATAGTCTTTCCAACAAATGATGCTGGAACAATCAGATAACTATATATGAAAGAATGAAATTGAACCCCTACCTCACACCATATACAAAAATTAAAGACCTAAATGCAAGATATAAAACTATAAAAATCTTAAAAGAAAATATAGTTGTAAATCTTTGTGAACTTGGATTAGGCAATAGCTTCTTAGATATGACACCTAATGCACAAGCAACCAAAGAAAAAAATAGATAAATTGGCTTTCATCAAATTTAATTTTTTTTTTGTTTAAAAAGACACCATTAAGAAAGTAAAAGGACAACCCACAGAATGGAAGAAAATATTTGCAAATTATAATTGGATAAGATCTAGAATCCAGAATATATTAAGAACTCCTACAACTCAATAATAAAAAGACTACCCAATGCTTAAAATGGGCAAGGGATGCCGGGCACGGTGGCTCACGCCTGTAATCCCAGCATTTTGGGAGGCCAAGATGGGCAGATCACAAGGTCAGGAGATTGAGACCATCCTAGCTAACATGGTGAAACCCTCTCTCCACTAAAAATACAAAAAATTAGCTAGGCATGTGGCAGATGCCTGTAGTCCCAGCTACTCGGGAGGCTGAGACAGGAGGATGGCGTGAATCCGGGAGGCAGAACTTGCAGTGAGCCAAGTTCGCACCACTGCACTCCAGCCTGGGTGACAGAGTACGACTCCATCTTAAAAAAAAAAAAAAAGGGCAAGGGATTTGAATAGACACTTCTCCAAAGAAGATATACAGATGGCCAATTAGCACACCAAAAGATGCTCAACATCATTAGTCATTAGAAAAATACCAATCAAATCCACATTGAGATACAATTTCACACCCATTAAGATGATTATAATAAAAAAGGTGAATAATAACAAGTGTTGGTGAGCAAGTGGAGAAATTAGAACCCTCATTCACTGCTAATGCAAATCTAAAATGTTGCAACTGCTGCAGAAAGCAGCCTGGCAGTTCCTCAAATGGTTAATCATAGAGTTACCATATGACCCAGTAATTCCACTACTGGGTACATACACAAGAAAATTAAAAACAAATGTTCACACAAAAACTTATACACAAATGTTCATAGCAGCATAATAGCCAAAAAATGGAAACAACCCATATGTCCATCTCCTGATGAACAGATAAACAAAATGTGTATATCCGTGCAATGAAATATTATCCAGCCATAAAAAGGGATGAAGTAGTAAGAATTGCTACCATGTGGATGAACCTTGAAAACATGTTAAATGAAAGGAACTAGACACAAAAGACTGGCTTCCATTTGTACGTATGTGATTCAATTTCTATAAAATATTCAAAATAGGCATCCATAGAGACAGAAAGCAGATTAGGAGGTGGCTAGGAAGGAGGGGAAACAAGAGTGACTGCTAATGGGCACAGGGTTCCTTTTGGGGTGATGAAAATGTTTTAGAATTAGTGATGATAGTTGTACAATCTAGTGAATATACTAAAAACCACTGAATTATATACCTTAAATGGGTGAATTTTATGTTGGTGAAATATATATATATATATATATTTTTTTTTTTCTGAGACAGATTCTGGCCCTGTCACCCAGGCTGGAGTGCAGTGGCACGATCTCAGCTCACTGCAGCTCACTGCAGCCTTCACCTCCTGGGCTCAAGTGATCCTCCCATCTTAGCCTCCCAAATAGCTAGGAGTACAGGCCCATACCACCACACTTGGCTTTTTCTAAAAAAAAATTTTGTAGAGACGGAGTTCCACCATGTTGCCCAGGCTGGTCTCAAACTCCTGGCGCCCACCTTGGCCTCCCAAAGTGTTGGGATTACAGGCGTGAGCCACTGCACCCAGCTTGTTAGTGAATTATATTAATTAAAAAAAAAGGGGGGATTGTGTTGAGGATCCCATAGCGTATATACAGCACTAACAATGCCTGCACATTGCAAGTGATTAATAAATTAGTTCTCCCTTATTTATTTTTTTGATGCCACAGTAGCAAGTCTGATAGTTCTCTCCCCTTTCTGTCTTTCCAGTATTTTCACCTTTTTTTTTTTTTTTCCTTTGAGACTTGCTCTGTCATCACCCAGGCTAGAGTGCAGTGGCATGATCTGGGGTCACTGCAACCTCTGCCTCTCGGGTTCAAGCGATTCTCCTGCCTCAGCCGTCCAAGCAGCTGGGATTACAGGCACTTGCCACCATTCCTAGCTAATTTTTTGTATTTTTAGTAGAGATGGGGTTTCACCATGTTGGCCAGGCTGGTCTCGAACTCCTGGCCTCAAGTGATCCACCCTCCTCAGCCTCCCAAAGTGCTGGGATCACAGGTGTGAGCCACTGCATCGGGCCATATTCGTTTTTTACATTACCCATCTGCCCAACAGATAACAGCTAATGTGCCCTAGTTGCTGAACAATGCCTTTAGGCACTGGAAGTACAGTGGTTAAGGGCAATCTCAATTGGAGCTTATGGTCTGGTAAGGGAGAAAATCATGCAATACAGTTACAAGCTGATAAATGACATGAACAAAAAAGTCCAAGCTTTCTTGAGAGTGAGTAAGAGGAATCTGATGGAGTTTGGAGATGGAGTAGTGTGCAGGAAATTATCCTAAAAACGAGGCTTGGTGGTAACATATACTGTTCTCTCCTTCATTACAGAGGAGGTGTGAAGCAGCTGAAGGGTCGGTGAGTAATTCTATGGGAGGGTGGTCTGCGTGTCCTTAGAAGGGCTGGGGTTCTCTGCTTCCTTACCGAATCCTCAGGCAGTGTGACACTAGGGACTGGGATGTAAGGCTGTGATGCTGCCTGGGTAGAGAGAAACAACACCCCACTGGGGCAGGAGCTATTTGGCCTCTGAGACCTTCACTGTGGAGCAAACAGGAAACCTTTAGTTTTACTTGTGTCTTTTTTTTTTTTTTTGAGATGGAGTTTTGCTCTTGTTGCCCAAGCTGAAATGCAATGGCGTGATCTTGGCTCATTGCAACCTCCACCTCCCAGGTTCAAGCCATTCCCCTGCCTCAGCCTCCCAAGTAGCTGGGATTACAGGCGCGTGCCCCCATGCCTGGCTAATATTTTGTACTTTTAGTAGAAACGGGGTTTCACCGTGTTAGCCAGGCTGGTCTTGAACTCCTGACCTCAGGTGATCTGTCCGCCTCCACCTCCCAAAGTGCTGGGATTACAGGCATGAGCCACCGCGTCTGGCCTTACTTGTGTCTTGAGAGGTGAAAAATGATCAGGGGAATAAGAAATAATTAAAAACAGGCAGGTAGTTAGTTTCACAAATTTATGTTTTGTGGAGCCTGGCACACAAGAACAGTCTGTTTTTAGAAGTCATAATTATAATTTGGACCCTTATTTTCAAAAAGAATTTTTAAGTGATTTGTAAGAAACATACTAGAAAACCTAATAAAATAGAAAATAAAAGTCAGAGAGAGAAAAATATTCAAAAAAGTTAGGCTAATAGTATTACTGTCTTGAGTATTAAATTTAACTCTGATTCCTGATAGCTGAGGCAAAAAGGAAAACAGTAAGTTAACCAGTTTTAATGTCTGGTTTAAAAAGAAGCGCAACATGTTCATTTATCTTTTAAGTTTCCAAACATTTGTTAAATGTGATTTAACAAGAACATTCAGGAATGCATTTAAAAAAAGAAAAAGAAACCCTCACAACAGTGTTGCCTTCCTAACAGCTGCCTTGAGGACCTACAGCTGGCCAGGCACTTTGTGTGGGAAAGTGGGTTTACCTCCATTTAAGCTGTTTTTATTTTTGCCAAGTACCTTCCAATTCTTGACCACATATATTTAAAAAATAATCATACATAAAATTGTCACCTCCACCTCCCGCACTTATTAGAGCATGATTCTCACACTTCAGTGTGCATACAGTCATCTGGGGATCTTGTTAAAATGCAGATTCTGTTGGGCGCAGTGGCTCACGCCTGTAATACCAGCACTTTGGGAGACTGAGGCAGGCAGAT